GCAGGAATGATTGGCGAAAACTTCAACTATTCTGATAAGCATAAGGGACTCTCTCCATTTTATCACACATCTGATTAGAAACATCTTTCGGCACTTGTAGAGGAAACAGAGGCTTGGAGAATTTCTGTATTTATTTTGTTTGCAAATTGGTCTTTATTGCTAGTTTGGGTTAAGTTCAGCCTCCCACCTTGCACGCTCACTACCACAGGCAGAGAAGAGGCAGTGCGAATATGCAGAGGGGACCAAAGATGAAAGTAAAGGCCAGGGAGAAAAGCACCTCAGAAATAAACCCAAGCACGTCATTTAATTTGGTTAAAGTATCAAATTCTTGCAAATTTCAAGGAAATTGGCTGAGGAGAGATGTCTTCTCAGCGCTCATCCCAAGGAAAAGGCACCAAAATCAACTCCACCTACGTACCAGGCCTCAGAAAGCAGCCATCTCCTCCACGCTGCAGCCGGCTGGATTAAGCAGGACACACGCGAAGGAAGGACGGAAGCCTGTCCTACGCAGGATGAAGCCGGGATTAAGGAGCTTGAACTCAGTTTCTCCTCAGTGCGGGGCATTTGTAAGATGTGCTGTCAGGTTTTGCTTCTCTTGCCAAACCAGCGACACTGGAAGTATTAAGGCCAGGGCAGGGGATTGTGCTCCTCCATCAGAGGGAGGAAGGCCAGACCCCTGCGAGGCTGCCCTTAGCTGTGATGACAGCAGTGACGCCTGCACACATCACACTAAAACAGTGACGTTACTGAAATGCAAAATCACCGACTGTTCCTTCAAAGCCGTACGCCCACAGTCTGGGAGCCTTATGCTGGTACCTCCCATAAGAAAACCATCCTCAGAAGGAAATACTGCCATCTCCAAAACATCCTCAAAAAAAGCACATTCAGCTCCTTAGGAAACCTAAGTGTTCCTGAAAAGCGTTTCAGGCAAACTTCTTTAATGCAACTAATTAAATATCTCAAGAAACATTTAACTTTCCTCCTTAGCAGCTCCTTTACTACGGTGCCACAATTTTCTCACAATAATTATATAAGATATCTGACTTCTAATTAACATTGCCGCTTAATGTTTTATTGATCAGCAGCTCCAACGCCGAGGGCAATGCTATTTTAAAATCCACTTAACTCTTGAACCCCAGTCAAGGGTGCCATGCAATTTATCTGTTCGTAAGCAGCCACTTTACCAAAGCAGCACGCATATTTGTTTCACAAAAGCCAATACAGATATCATCGCTTCTGCTCCCGAATTCATCATATTCAGACCATTAGGTAACACAGGGATAACAAGAATAAGTCTCCACTTTGCCCACTGCTCTCTGCAAGCACTTGCAAAATATTAAGGCGCATAAATAGTCTGTGAAAAATCACCCCTGTGCAAGAAAATTGTTAAGCATATGAACCACTTCAGCAGTCCTCAAACACTGGAGGCTATAGAGCATCTCATAACGCAATGCTGATTTAATTATGATGAGCTAACTCTCTGCAAGAGTTAATTTTGTCATCTTAATAAGGCAGACCCTGCTATCAAAATGAAAGGCTTTGCTTATGGCAAGAATCTGCATGTTTGGGTGAAAAGAGTGTTGCTAAGTTAAAATATTTTTTCCTTCACCACCATCTCAGCTCCTGGCACCACCTGGGTTCAGCTGCGACAGCATCTGAACTGCATACCTTGTCCCATACATATTTCCAGAGAACTCTGCGTGTTCAATGAATTCACCAGCATCAATTTCTTTCTGCATTTCCTCTCTGGTCACAAAGTGGTAATCTGGAGAGGGAAAACAGGAAAAATAGCCAGAAGTTAACAGTTTTGAAGGTAAAGTTCATGGTTAAAATGACACCCGTGGGTCCTTAGGGGAGAAGCAACTTAAAACCTGTTTTGCACAACGTTGGCAGATTGCAGATATCTACTTCCTAATTATTGTATACAGCATCCCCTCTCCACACCAATCACCCAGACACCTGCTCAAAATGCCTTGGAGCTTTCTATGTGGCCAAAAATGCTACCGTACACCCTTTTCCATACCCTTTCCTCTTTCTGGTGCAGTGGGAACCTCCCCCCACGTGTGGAACACATTACAGCAGGACTGCCAAGGCCCTTAATTTGAAAGCATTTATGATTAAAGACTAGAATGGGACAAGCGAGAGAGGAGGAGATAAGAGAGAACATCAAAATCAAACAAACTAAAAAGGATGGTTTATCTTTTGTTAAAATTCCTCCCTTTCACTCCAGAGTGAAAACTGTCATCGGAAATTAAGAACAAATCTCATTTGATTCTTTTTGAAATATGCAAACAAACCAGAAAACAGAAAAGCAGTTGGCCAGCCGGACACAAACTATTAACACAGATAAAGACATCTCATTAAGCAGTTGCATTTTCCAAAGCAGTCTGCATTTGAAGTATCTCACCAGAGCTACCAGGCACTTTGGAAAAATCAAGCCACTCAATGCCCAAGTATGGACCAGGGTGCTTAAACTAAGAGCCCTGCTTTGAAAACCTTGGCCAGTGAGTCCCAGAGACAGTGTCTAGAAAAGAAAACTGGCAGCACATGCTCTGCCTCTAACATTTCACCGCTTAATTCAATTTTGGTTTTGTTCTGCCAAGTTCATCCCTCTTTGTCATCTTCTGCCCAACATACGGCACGTGCTGCAGAACAGCAGTAAACTGCTACAGTCTCATTGCCACTGAGATAAAGAACAAAAGCATGTGTATGTATGCATATTTATATGCACATATACATACACACTCTCAAATATATCATTACTGAATGTCTGCCTAAGGAAATGCAGCCTATAAACATAAATGTAGGACTAACTGATCTGCCAGTGGGGATTCATGCGTTCACTTCACATAAAAACTTAAAAATTTTCAGAGGAATTATTTGCCAAGTCTGATGAGACAGGCCCAACTGCAAAACCCTCACCTTTGCCATTGACTTCTCCGGGTCTCGGCTGCCTCGTGGTATCTGTAAGCAAAAACCAGCCTTGTAAATTTTGTAGATCATCCAAGGAAGTCATAGTATGAAAGAAAGAAAAGCACACACGCAGCAGATTAACCCAATCGTGTAGTAAGCTGATCCTCTATTTAAAATGATCAAAGCTTCTGGAATCAGCTAGTGTAACACACAACAATATGCAGGATCGTCTTTTCATCGAAGAAGCCTAGATAATCTGAAAACAATCAATTGAGGTTGTTAGGGGCTGAGCGGTCGGTGTGGGACCTGCCAAGCTGGGCTTAGTTTTCAGCTCTGCTACTGCCTTCCTGTGTAATCCTAGACACGTTATTCGGACCTCTGCCTCAGTTCAGGGGAATTAGCAGTGCCCTACTTCGCAGTCATCTTCATTTTAAAAGATCATGCAGCACCTACACAGGTGCTTAAAATAGCGAGATTTAATGAATAAGGGTGAATTCCTGCACGAGGTAGGTGAATAAATCAGCCTTTGAACCCTGCTGGAAGTCATTTAAACTAGTATTATTTTAAGCACATGCTCTGCAAACCGAAAGGGAGCTGACGGTCATCATGGAAGCCAACACCGATTATTTTATTTAGGACCAGCAGGAGTTAACCTAATGCAATAAGGCTCTGATCACCTCCAAGTTTTTATAAAGCATCAGTTGCCAAGGTCCAAGCGATCTTTGGAGATTCAGGAAAAAAAGATATGTACCAAAAGGCAACCTTGGGGAAAATGATAAAATTTAGTTTGGAGTGACACAAGAGATTCAGTTGAATCAAGAGCATAGGATGAAACACACAGAAGGAAAGACAATTTTAAGTTTTTTTTTTCCCATCTCCAGTAACATTAAATTTTTAAACATCCAGTATTTGCTTTTTCATGGTGGAACGAATCCGGATCTCATAGATCTTAAAGCAAGGATTTCTCTTGTGGTATCCAAAGCATTAGGACAGTAAAAAACCATTTTGGCAATGTACTTAAGAACACCTTACAGAGCTACAGGGAAAATCAGGTGAATGAGCTGTGGTCACAGCCCAGACTCTGAGGGTAACCTTTAAGGTGTCACTCAAGAAAAAGGAAACAAAATTAGTATTGCAACAGGCAAGCCGCCTGAAGAAAATTCCCTGCCCTTACTTACTCTGTTGTGGACACAGGAAGATTTCAGGACTCCCTGCAGCCAGGCACGAGTGGATGGAGCTGCCCAGCCAGGGGTTATTTTCACAGGTCAAGGAATCACCTCAGGTAGGAAAAAAAGGACCCTTGGCCAGCACTGAGTGACTGACGTAGAAAAAGCCAACAAACCACCAGAGCAATGGCAGGAGGAGGAACGTATGCCGGTGATGAGGCAGACTGCTTCAGTGACTGACCCAGTAAAGAGAGAGGCTTCACAAAACTCTTTAATTTTAAATCCGAGACTGTGGTGTGCAGCCCCTGGGCTGTTAAAATCCTCATCAGCTCCCTCAGGTGGATGGAAAGAATTGGCTTTTGAAGCAGAGGTGTGTGGGGGATCTTGTTACTTTCAGAGTCAAGAATCACTCAGAAAAATCTCATTACCTCTCCGAGCTGCGTTTAGAGGTGTGGGGTCACCAGACCTGGAAAGGGTGTTATTCCAGACAAATCTTGGACTTGCCACTGAATGCGAGTAGTAAAAGGCATCCTGACTTGTTTAAACATCCCAAAGAGCCCACAGACAGACTAGGACACAGGCAAGCCATGGAAGCCCATTATTTGGGGCACAAATACAGCTACAGAAGCAGGCTGTGGGCTAGCGGCCCTGAACTCCTCTGCTGCCCTTCCCCAGAGACATACGGATACTCACGGGAGACGCTGAAGCCAAAGATGTTCTCGTAATCTTTAAGCAATTTCTTTAACAAAGTGCTCTTCCCTGCACCCGATGGGCCACTCAGAACCACTGGTCTTGGTCCCTGCATGGCTAGAGAGACAGAAAAATATGTGTCTGGTTAGAAACACCCATGGGAAAAACACAGCTATGGATTCCCAGGGGTGCTCAGCCCCACAAAACAGCGTCTATCCTTTACCCTCAGATACCAGTTTCCGCAGGGAAATCTGAAATTATGAGCAATCACAAGCCTAGAGCTGACAGAAAGTAACTGGGAGTGCAGGAAATACCAGGGAAATTCAAACAACTATTAAATTCGCAAACTGGCAGCAAATAGCGGGAGCTGCCACCTCTGCACCACTGCAAAAGATCTGAGCTGGGAGCCCTGAGGAGTCCGGTATCGTTTTGGAAAGCGGACAGTGGAGGCCACCAGCGATGCAGCAGGACAGCTTCACTTTGCTTCACCCCTGGCCCCAATTCCTACCAGGGGAACAAATATCTCAGACAAATAAAGGATATGTATCACTGCAGCATCAACATTCATTCTCAAGGGACTGAGGTTAAACTCATAGGACATAACTCAAAGGAGGAGGGAACTGGGCTCCAGCTGCCACTAAACTTGGACAACTCAAGCCCGCTCTGTTCTCTGTCACCAGGATTGGGTCCCTCTGGGACTCAAATCCAAGGGAAAACTTTCTCTAACAGGAGGAAAATGCCTGTGCCTGGTGGCATCTGGAAACATCATGGGACATTCACACATTCTGGGCAATGCCAGCTTAATACTTGTCCTTACTGGGAGAGAGAGGTGTGTGTATCTCTCTCTCTCTTTCTCTCTCCAGCCACTTCCCTCTCACGGTGAGAGGCCTCAAGGAGCGTTGGCAGGAGATGCCGGCAAGAAAAAAGGGCAGAAATCAGCCAGTGTTACACATGGGCAGCTTTGAGCGAGGGATGGGATGCCCGCGAGATCGCCGCACATCTTATGTTGCCCATTTACATCCTAACAAGTACAAACTACGAGCCTAAGATGGACAGTTAAATGTTTCCTATCAGTCCTGGGATAACTATCCACGTGCAAAGCCTTTAGCATAAGCAAATAACGTACTGAAGCCCAAACACAGAGGCCCAGCGCGTCTTCCACCACTAAACCTCAAAGCCTTGCAACAGCGGTCTGAACACGGGTGTGATCTGGGACACGAACACGCTTTGGGGTTTATTTCCATATTTCCTGGAGCGCTAACTCCAGCTCAAGGCATCTCGCGGCAAGACAGAAGGGTTCGGTTCCTGGTACAGGGAAAAAAAAAAAAGGCAGCCTGGGGCCACAGTTCTGCAGTTGTTTCTTCAGCCAGAAAGGAAAATAAATTGGGTGTTTTCATGTGCCTGCCTCTCCGGGGAGGAAGAAAGGTTGATTATTAACATGTGAATAAAGAAGAAAATCCTGTACGACAGCGCAGTGGCTACCGCTGGGGATCCTCATCCATCAACAGCGATTCAGCAGCTTCTAAAACAGAGGTGATGACAAAAGCGGGACAAATAAAAGAAGCCTAATTTTTCTGTTTAAAAACAATTACTTTCTGCAAGCAGTAAAGCCCCTGGAAATGTATTTTTTTAACCTCATCGGCTGGGTGTGGCCTCAGGAGCAATCAGCCACCAGACAGTATAATGCCTTTCCATTTTAAATGAGATCATAGCAATGTCACCCTGACCTTACAAATCACTTTTTGAACAGCCTTAAGCCAAATGCCGTCTCTTACAAAATCAGCCGCGGCTCCTGCGGCAGGCTAATCTAGCCAGGCTGCCTCCCTGACCCCAGCCTGCGTGAGCTGGGTCCCTCTTTATCCCTAAATCCCTCCCGCACAGCTCTGCGATCACGCAGACACCTACCAGGCAGCACTACGGCTAGCAAATTATATGAGTTTTCCCTCCATTCCCCAAGGACGCTTTGTACTCGTCTGACCAGAGTTTATCCAAGGCTGTAGGAAAGGACGGGGTATTAATACACAAAGTCTAAGTAGATGCTAGCAGCAGCTAAGGTGGGCATAAAACCACCCACGTTCAATCACCATCCCAAAGGAAACTCTCTGTTTTTTGCTGTTAGAGTTCTCCAGGTGCTGCAGCCCCGCAGATCCATCAGATCAGACGTTCTTCAGGGACCTGGGAGGACTGGTCCCATCGTATGCGGACGGCCACGTTCCTGAATTAGGCTCCATCATCCGTAAAACACAACGAGGGTGAACAAACTCTAGGAAGTCCTTTTGGGAATCTGTTCTAGCTCTCCCTTAGCCTTTGAGCTTTGATAATTTCCAAATATCACAGGTTTTGCCTAAATGTTCAGTATCAAAAGAGGAAAGCACACCCTCCTGCTCCTCCTCAGCAGCAAAACGCTATTCACCGCTTGCAGAAAGGAAGCGGAGGGGCCCTTGCCAAGTTGTCCAAAGCATCTCCCTCTCTTCTGTTCCTGCCAGGTTCTCTCGCCCACAGAAATATATAAAACAGGTGAGCCCTAACCATTGCTTCCAAAACACTCCAGAAGAGGAGTTATACAAAGTTTGTTGCCCTCCAGTCATCCCAGCGCACTTCGCAACATGTCTGCTCCCGAACGATGCTCCTTTATCGCATACAAGCTTCTTCGGCCACCACTGAAAGCCCCAGCACATCAGCAGGGACTCTGTCTGGGTGTTTCACAGCTTCCCCGTCACCGTGATCTGGTTGTGCCAACAATACCTGCTCCGGATACACAAGTATCCTGCAGATCCCAGCCAGGACACTCACACCTCACCTAGATGGAAAAGAACTTTCCTTTCTCCCTCCTCAAAATTTCATCCACCCTTTAGCAGGCACCGATAGGAAAAAGGGAATTTAAAGCTGCCCAAAATCACTTCCAGTCATTTCATTCAACCCCAGACAAACTGGGAAGGGGTAAGAGGAATGGGCAGAGCGCTGGCTGGGAGCAGGCTCCAACGCATCCTTACCTTTCCCTTTTACTCTCTTTCAGCCAAGGTATAAAGTCCAGCTCCTCGCAGCGGCGACAGGTTCGCGACACGAGCGAGCCGGCAGAACGCTGGGCTATTTGTGAGCTGCCTAAAGCCTTAATTACCGAGCTGCAATTTTAAGATGGCCAATGAAAACCACCCGCTGGTCTTTAATCTTCTTTCGTGGTTTTCTCTCTGCTTCCTGCTCTCCCAGCTGGTAAAGCTGCAGTCAAACACCCCTAACAGGTTGACGGGTGCTGGCACGTGCCGGCCTGGTGCTTTGGCAAACAGCAAAACCATCCCTGATTCTGCATGTCAGGTCACAGGGAAACGTGGAGGGGAAGGAAGAGCTGTTAATCCTGTGGTACCTCCTGGGAGAGACCACCGGCTCGTTCAGGTTGGAGAGGCCCTCAGGAGGTCCCCAGCCCACCCTCCTTCTCAAACGTAGCACGATTTTAGCTGGTGATCAAACAGTGGTGCCCACAGACACGAAAAATGGATGACAACGATGCCCATCAGGCATCAAACTCAGGCTATAAAGCCGCTACACTCACGTTACACATCCAATAGTTGTGTGGTTGAGGTAACTCTTCCGGAAAGGCACTTGGTCTTGGTTTTAGCCAGGATTTCACTCCAAATAGCAGGTCCCAGCACCTCCGTGGTGGGACCCGGCAGGGTCTGTGCCACCCTGTCCATCTGCTGGTGCTGGCGGTCCTTTTCTGCCTGAAAGAGCATTGGTAGGGCATCAGGTGAAGAGAGAGACGCTCTCCTTTACCTTATTCTCTTCTTTTTTTCCTCCCAAAATACTCAGAACTAAAGTGAGAAAAAACACACAGTTTGCCAGCACGGGTCACACTTCTTTGGGAAACGGGCTAAAAATAAACCACGAGACTCGCAGGTGCTTCCTCTCGCCTCCCTCCAAACGCATCCCTTCTGTTCTGCTGGAGATCTACAGAGGAAAACAGGACTTAATTTAGAGGGGAGGAAAAAAAGCCATTTCCACCGGGCTGGGCCATCGTGAGCGGCAGACGACAAACACCCGGCTGGCAAACTGGGAATCTGTGCTAGCACAGAGCAAAAACGGCTCCCACGGAGCATTTTCAGAAGGCGTCCACCACCCAGCACAGTGCAGGATTTTGGGGAGTTGCTCAGGGCCGGAGAGGTGAAGGACGAGGACGTCCCAGGAGGGTGAACAGAGGAGTCGATCTCTACCTAAAGACGTGAGCAGCGCAGAGGTGGGAGCGGGTGCCCTCACCTCCACCATCGGATTTGGTTAAACACGTGCCCTGACCCTGCGGAATCGCTCCCAATGACGAGCCGGTCTGCACACCAATATTACTGCCCTCACCCGGCTTCTCTGCTCCCCCAGCCCTGTCAAACACAGCTCCTCTCCCTCCGGCAACCTCAAGCCCTCAAAAAACACAAGTAAAGCACCAAAAAAAGCCTGAGAAACCAGATCTGGTGGATATGGGACTTCTTCAATCTCCTGTTTGGCTCCCAGCCCAGTAAGGCATCCGCGCATCACATTTTCAAACCGTTTGCAGCAGTAGCATTACAGGTATGTATTTATTTTGAGGAGAAGCTCCCGTTTTCTCCCTTTTGCTCAGATTTTGGCATTTTCAGAGCAGCCAATCTGCAAATATCTAGCACGGAGGGTCTCTAACCTCCACTGAGTTACTCCTAGAACAGTTTTGGATCCAGCCTAACCACCACGTATCACCAAAACCACAATGGGCTGGAGTCGATCAGCAAGAGAGCAGCACAGCTATTTAATAAAGATTCTCATATTTAGGGAGGTGCCACATCTAGGACTGAGGGAAAACGGCCACGTAGACCCGGCTGGGCTGCGAAAAGTCAAGGCGGTCACCAAAGAAGAACACAGGAGGTTGTCAGTAGAGCACAGAACCTTTCTCTGTCTGCTCCTGCCTGCTAAACTTGCTCTGGATTTTAAGCGGGAGGTGACAAAGCAACCAGTAAAGCAAAGGACAGACATCACAAGAGTTAAATAAAATTAACGCTGATTAGCAGAGAGGCTTTACATAGAACGTAAAGCCCCCTTATAAAGAAGAAAAGAAGATTAAAGGACAGTTTCCCTGCAGCCCCAAGAAAAGTCTTCTGCATTAGGATTATA